ATTTCTACCTCATCAGGTTCAAGTGGAACAACTTTATTTCTTTCAAGCCATACCAGATTCCATTTTCGGCACTCATCAAGAACATACTTCTGGACACTCGAAGGTAGCTCATCGTCATAAGCTTCAAGAGCCTTACAGATCCTTTCTGTCAATCTGGAACTTCTTGTACATGTTTGTAAGAAGTTCAACTTTGTTCTTGGATCCCAGGAAGACTATCATTTCTTTGTCAATGGAAAAATATCATGTATAGTGCATGGAGAAAACAAGATAAGAGGAAATCTGTTCTCAATTGGCAGATTATGAATATAGCCTATTTTCAGTGTAACAGCATGAAAATGCTTCGAATCTACAAATTCTGGCTATACATCGAATAAGTACTGTGATATTCCAGTCCAAACATTAACTGGAGCAAGTGCCACGTTCTCATAGTAGAAATAAGGAGACCCAATAGCATCTTCTCGAAGTGTTCTTTGAGTTATCTGATCTGGTTTGGTATGAACCACAGAACCAATCATTGAATTTGGAAGATGAATGTGCTCATAGCATCTTCTGGAAGTGTTCTTTGAGTTATCTGATCTGGTTTGGTAAAACCAGTTATTGAATTTGAAAGAGGAATGTGCTCATAGCATCTTCTGGAAGTGTTCTTTGAGTTATCTGATTTGGTTTGATATAAAACCCAGAAACAATCATTGGAATTAAAAGATGAATTGCATGATCGTCTTCATTAAGAAATTTCTTTTCAAGCTTCTTTTGCTTATTCCTTTCCCAAAAATCATAGCCCAGGTTTCGCCTTTTCTTGTAATTGGGATCATTGCATAATGGCTTCCCATCTTTTACCGGAAGAAATGTGTCAGTAACCTTAGCCATTTGAGCAGCACATATAAAATTTGCCAATTCTGCAATTGATGAATCTAGACCCCATCTCTACATGGCTATTGAAGCTTCAGCCTTTGAGAATCCCATTTTTGTCAAGTATAACAGTTTATTCTCCTCATCAGAATCAGAATTCAAGATTTCTTGGTATTAAAAGAACTATCGATATCTGTGAAATCATCTTGAAAGGACATTTCATAATCAGATGAGTTGTTATCAGAATCAACATGTCGCATGAAGGCAAGCTTTTCAAGAGCCTATACTATTGAGTTTTATTCTCAAGAGGTTTTGTGACATTATATCTACCTCTACATTTGTCAAAGAGGATAGATTCTCTGATTTGAAGAAGAAAGATTTATTGGGTCTCTACAACTGAAGAAATACTCAGTTCACCAATCTGAAATCAAATAACTTAACAATCATGCATCATATTTAGGCATTTGCAAAAATAGGTGCATTTTCATTCATTCTCATCCATGTTGAATTTTGACAGGTTTTTCAAAGATTTTAGCAAAAAAAAAGCTCAAATCTATCACTTGATAGATTAGCTTTTCCAGTTCGAGTTCATAATGAGAAGAACTCATCTGAAGAAGGATGAAGAAGTTCATAATGAGAAGAATTTGTTCAACCTTTTGCTCAAATCTATCACTTGATAGATTAGCTTTTCCAGTTCGAGTTCATAATGAGAAGAACTCATCTGAAGAAGGAAGAAGAAATTCATAATGAGAAGAATTTATTCAACCTTTTGCCCAAATCCATCACTTGATGGATCAGCTTTTTTAGGTAGAGTTCCTAATGAGAAGAACTCGTCATCTGAAGAAGGATGAAGAAGTTCATAATGAGAAGAATTTGTTCAACCTTTTGCTCAAATCTATCACTTGATAGATTAGCTTTTCCAGTTCGAGTTCATAATGAGAAGAACTCATCTGAAGAAGGAAGAAGAAGTTCATAATGAGAAGAATTTATTCAACCTTTTGCCCAAATCCATCACTTGATGGATCAGCTTTTTTAGGTAGAGTTCCTAATGAGAAGAACTCGTCATCTGAAGAAGGAAAAAGAAGTTCATAATGAGAAGAATTTATTCAATCTTTTGCTCAAATACATCACTTGATGGATCCGCTTTTCCAGAGAAAATTCATAATGAGAAGAACTCATCTGAAGAAGGAAGAAGAAGTTCATAATGAGAAGAACTTGTTCAACTTTTTGTTTGAATTCATCATTTGATGGATCAACATTGCTAGGTAGAGTTCCTAATGAGAAGAACTCGTCATCTGAAGAAGGAAGAAGAAGTTCATAATGAGAAGAACTTGTTCAACTTTTTGTTTGAATTCATCATTTGATGGATCAACATTGCTAGGTAGAGTTCCTAATGAGAAGAACTCGTCATCTGAAGAAGGAAGAAGAAGTTCATAATGAGAAGAATTTGTTCAACCTTTTGTTCAAATCCATCACTTGATGGATCAGCTTTTCCAGATAAAGTTCATAATGAGAAGAACTAATCTGAAAAAGAAGAAGTTCACCATGAAAAGAGCTTGTTCAACCTTTTGAATGACTCTATCACAGAAGGAAATAGGTCAACATCATCCCCAGCGGAAAGTTCATAATGAGAAGAACTCATCTGAAGAAATAGAAGAACTTATTCAACATCTCCATACTAATCAAGTGAAATCAAATGAAAAAAACTTATTATCTTTTCGTCTTTGCTCTATTCTTATTAAGAATAAGCAAAGAGGGGCAGCTGAAGATATTCATTTTTTTCATTTTAATTTTATTTATATTATTATTATTATTATTATTATTATTATAATAATAATTATTATTATTATAATTATTATTATTATTAATATATATTATTTATTTATTAATATTACAAAACCCGGGGCCCAATAATCAGGCCCATATTACAAGCCCAAACCAAATGGAAACCCTAAAATATTTAGGGTTTCAGTTAGGGTTTTCTAACCCTAACCCCGTGTGCCGCCGCCTCAATGGTTTCCAGCTGCCTCAGCCAACGGTCCAGCTTCCAGCCGCCTCTGCTGCCAGTGCCACGCCTCCATCGAAGCCTCCAGAAGACCCAGATGGCCACCCACGTTGCTACTCTAGCAGTGAGTCACCACATAGTTCGGTGACTCACCGAAATCCGCTCTTCAGACCGGTCCGATGGCCACACCGATGATGGCTATAAAGCCATCACCCCATCTGCGAGCAAAAACAGAGAGACAGAGAACAACAGGGAGAGACAGAGAACAACAGAGAGAAACGGAGACCATACAGGAGACCGAGAGAGATACAAGATACTAAAAAACTACCAACGATCTCAACAACAACACAGCAAAGAAACAGAAAAGAAAGAAAAGAAAAAGAAAGAAGAGAAACTTACTCTGTCATCGGAGAACCCCAACCGTCGCCGGATACAACAAAAACCGAAGGTACTTTTGTAGATTTGCTCTGATTAGGAGCTTTTTAAGGAAAAAGAGCACCGGAAACGCCCTTAGGACGGTCCGATCTATTAACGGTGTAAAAATAAAATTTTCCGGCCACCGGATGAGGTGGCCGGCGGTGACGGTCACGGCGGCAGACAGTTGCCGTCTGGTGACCGGCTTCCCTCCGATGAGGGAAGCTAGAGAGAAGGCAGAGAGAAATTTGTTCTCTCTCTGTTAGAGAGAGAACAGAAATAAGGAAATGAGAAGCTGGCCCGTAGGGCCAGCCGGCTTAGGGTATAAATACCCTCTCCCAAACGACGTCGTTTTGGGAGGGTATTTCTGTAATTTCACAAAGGGTAAACCCCGTCCGAAGCCATTCCAACTTGTAATTTTTACATTCTAGTCACTAATCGAGTTTATAATACTTTTAATTCAGATCTTTAATTTTAATTTCATTTATTTTAGTCCTTTATATTAAAATAATATATTTAGGATAAATAACAGATTTAATCCCTTAATTTTAATAAATAATATTTTAATCCCTAGTTTATATTTTTAATCTTATATTCGAATTTTAAATAATTTTATTTTAGTCACTAAATAAATAAAATAAAGAAATAGCATGTTTAATCCCTATAATTTTGATTAATTATGAATTAGGTTTTTAATTTTACTTTTACTATAATTTAGTCATTTATTTTAAATGTTTTCATTTATTTTATTGCTTTTAAATATATCGTTCTAATTGTATTTTTATTGTTTTAATTTTACTTGTTTATATTTTTAAATATTTTTATTCATAAATATATATATAATAAATAATAATTTATTTTTAAATAAATTATTTTAATATTTATTTTTCAATATCGAAGAAAAGGACAGTCTTAATACAACTGGATGTCCTATTCTGGTATTTTAAAATTTAAAAATTATAAAAAATATTATTTAATTTAAATTAATATTTATCAATATCAAAGAAAAGAGCTGTCTTAAGGCACCTAGAAGTTCTTTTCCGATATTTTTAAATATTTTTTATAATTTTGAAATAATAGGATTATAAATTAAATATATTTTGAATTTTTAATAATAGAGACAATTTATAATTAAAAAGTACCAATATTGGGCGTTGTAAGGGTGCTAATCCTTCCCTAAATGTAACCGACCACGAATCCCTTTTTATTATTAAAAAGAACGAATTTTTGGTTAAAACGCAGATCAGTTTATCTTTTAATTGATGTTTTCTTAAAAACTCTTTTAAAAGATATTTTTTAGGTATTCGACCTACCTGACCCAAAAGGCCGATGGCGACTCTCAAATTATTTTCAAAACCATTTATTCACATCACTTTTCCCGCCAAATAAATATTTCGTGCCCGGACAAAAACCGGTTACGACAACCTCCAAGACCACTTTTCTTCCAATCACTGGTAGTGGCAGCATCTACATTCAATTTGATGAAGCCCATAGGAGGAGGGGACCAAGGGATTTTAGATAACATCAGGATATTGTAGGAACAGCAAGAATCCCCTAGGGAAGGATCCGAAATTATTGAATCCTTGGGAATTGTAATCTCCTTATGTTTAGCTAAAAACCAAGAAGCTAGTCTAAATCTTGCTAAGAAAAATAATTATGTCTGATCAAGCTTCCCCCTTAAAAAACAATATCATTTGAATAGAGATATGCTGAATTTGTTTGATGAAATCAGTTGTGTAATCAGGAATCAGAAACTCGTGCTAGGACGGAGCAAATTGAAGCTTGCGGTGTCTTTAACGTTTGCACTTGCAGTTACTGTGGGGAGAAAGCAGATGGGAAAGATTGTTCAGTATGTGATTCATGCGAGGAAATGTACCATGTTGCCTGTATTGAGCCTGCTCTGAAAGTGATTCCTCCTAAAAGTTGGTATTGTGACAGCTGCACTAGTAATGGAATGGGATCTCCACACGAGAATTGTGTGATATGTGACAGATTGAATGCCTCTCGGACTGTCAACAACGATGGTACTGATGAAAGTTGCACTGAAAATTTTGGAACATCTACTGAATTGGAAGAAAATTCAAACTGTAGTGTTGACTGTTGATAATGGGTTTCAGTTATCACCAGGGAGTAAAACCCATTGTGTTTGTAAAATTTGTTGAAGTGACGTTGAAAAAGGTGAGAAGGAGTTGTGAGCATCCCTACTGCCCAAATAAATATTATGTGAGGTGCCTGACAATGAAGCAGTTAAAAACATATTGTTCTCGCTGCTACTGCCCTTCTTGTCTGTGTACAATGGACAAAGATGATGATAAGATTGTTTTATGTGATGGCTGTGATGTCGCATACCACATTTATTGCATGAAACCACCGCAAACCTCAATCTCAAGCGGGAAATGGTTTTGCAGAAAATGTGATTATGAGATCCAGCTAATACAGAGGTAAAGAGCATATGAAAATAAGATGAAATTGAAGGGCATAGGAAGTAAAACGCCATATTATAATCTGGAATTGAGCTCAAATCAGAGAGAGAAAGAGAAGTCTGATAAAAATAGAGGTGGAATGGACATGCTGCTAGTACTCTACATTTTGAAGAGAAGCTGAATGCGTCTCGGATGGAGAGTTAAAAGGACCTTGTACTTGGAGGGCATAACATGATTCGTTTTTCCTTTGGATTTTTTCCCTATGGACAACTCAGAGTGACAACTTACTACATTTTTTCGGCTATGAGCAAGACACGATTTTGCAAGAATGTTAACTTCATGACATTTTACTGGCATTTGGATGGATAGCTATGAGCAAGACACGATTCTGAAGGCTGTATATTTCTGCTTGATCAATGGGGTCGCCAAACCGTTGGCACGGACAATAATCCACTAACAGTTATGGTTGAGTTAATGTTAGTTTGTACAATGAGAGTAGATAGTTTTAGACACCAATTCTGCTTCCTCTCTAGGTGAGTTGGCTGTATGATCTATCCATGTATGTTGTTTAATTAGTCGCTGACATTGTTTTCCTAATCTCTTTTTCATTAAATAGAAAAAAGAAATAATTTTGAATCAGATTCTGGATTTGTAGCATATAATTTCTCTATATTGCTGTTTACCTGTATTTTTTTAACGTGGAAAAGGAAAAACTAAAGCTTTTACATACTTTTGACCATAATAGGGAAAAAAAAAAGAAATAAAGTCACAGGAAGGATCTGCTAAGTTCTAACTGATAGCCCATTAATTAAAATCTTTATCTTATCATATTAATTACATTTAATTTCAGCAATGCAAAGAATTAAAAAATCAATTGGATTGTAACCTCAACTTAGAGTAATTAAAGACAGTTTCGGATAACTCAAAGCAAAACTTACGAAATTTAGCTTGATAAATAGCAAACCTAAAATTCTTACAACAGAAAAATCAGACTTAATGGAGCAACCAAGAGCAGCAAATTCAACCCCACTTACGACTCTAGGGTTCTTGGAGAGAGCTGCCCTTGCTTACGGAGACTGCCCTTCCATCGTGTACAATGATTCCACCTACACGTGGTCGCAAACCAACTGTCGGTCATTACAACTGGCATCCTCATTGTCGTCCGTGGGGATTGCGAGAGGCCACGTGGTATCCGTTGTGGCACCGAATATCCCCGCCATGTATGAACTTCACTTTGCTGTCCCCATGTGTGGAGCCATCCTCAACACCATCAACATTCGACTCGATGCTCGCACCGTCTCAACGATCCTTCGCCACAGCGAATCCAAGCTTGTCTTTGTGGACCATTATTATGTTCCTCTCGTTCTTGAAGCCATTGCTTTGCTCTCTTCGAATGGGACCGAAATCCCATTGCTCGTACTCATAAATGATGATGAACCCTCCCCATCATTCACGTTCGATAATAATAGTAATTTCATCGACACGTACGAGAATATGGTGAACAAAGGAAACCCCGGTTTCAAGTGGATCCGACCGGAGAGTGAGTGGGATCCAATGGTATTAAACTACACTTCGGGCACCACATCATCACCAAAAGGAGTTGTACACTGCCACAGGGGAATATTCATCACCACCGTTAGTTCCCTCGTTGATTGGTCTGTCCCACATCATCCTGTTTTCCTGTGGACACTCCCCATGTTCCATGCCAATGGATGGTGTTACACGTGGGGCATGGCTGCCGTGGGTGGGACCAACGTTTGCCTTAGAAAATTTGATGGAACCATAATCTATAACTCGATAAAACGGCACAACGTGACCCATATTTGTGGTGCGCCGGTGGTGCTAAATATGGTGGCATCATCAACTTCTCTAACTAATAAACCATTGGAGAAACCAGTCCAGTTCCTTGCATCAGGGGCTCCAGTGCCGGCACCGTTGCTGTTGCGAGCTGAGTCATTGGGTTTTATAGTGACTCATTGCTATGGGTTAACTGAGACAGCCGGGTACATCGTGTCGTGTGCATGGAAACCTCAATGGGGCGCATTGGATGCACCAGATCGAGCCAGGTTAAAAGCTAGGCAAGGGGTGAGGACAATTGGGGTAATGGATATGGATGTGGCGGATCCGGAGAGAGAAACTAATGTGGAAAAAGATGGTTCATCGCTCGGAGAAATCTTTGTCAAAGGTGGGCAGGTAATGCTTGGTTACTTTAAGGACCCGACAGCAACATCTTCATGCATGCGAGGGGATGGTTGGTTTTATACCGGCGATGCTGGTGTTGTTCATCCCGATGGGTATTTAGAGATCAAGGATCGGTCCAAGGATGTGATTATTAGCGGCGGGGAGAATATAAGCAGTGCCGAAGTCGAGTCTGTTTTGTACTCGAATCCAGCTGTTAAGGAGGCGGCTGTTGTGGCAAGACCGGATGAGTTTTGGGGTGAGACACCCTGTGCCTTCGTATGCTTGAAGGATGAGTACGTCGAAAAGCCTACTGAGAAAGAGATGGTAGAATATTGTAGGGCCAATCTCCCACATTATATGGCCCCTAAAACAGTGGTGTTCAAGGAGGAGCTTCCTAGGACATCAACTGGGAAAATTAAGAAGTTTGTGCTGAGGGAAATTGCCAAGGCTTTAAGCTAGGATTGTTTTAAGAACATAAGCCAAAATTAATAGCTCATACCATTTGCTTCTCTTTCTTTTTCCATTTTCCATCCTTTTCATTTCATTCTTAAAGCTGACAAAAGGGGTTTTCTTAAAATGCCTAATATTTATACATGATATTGGGAGAATTTATCTGTACACAATCTCATGGTTTAAATTTAACATGCGTTTCCTAAAAGCACGAAACAGCACACACCATTTGCATAAACTTTCAGAATAGATAGTACTCTCTGATATTATGCCTACAAAGTTTTCCATCAAAGCCGAATCCAGAGCAAATCCAAAAATTTTCGATCGTGTAGCTATGTTCATCTCTTTCTCATGGTAAGTTGAGGACTCATCTCAGTGCTATATCCTTTATCCGCATACAGAATTCTCAATTACAGATGGCTGGTAACTTTTAACATCAATCCTCCTCTGAGAGTAACAATTGCACTTCGTGTAAAATCAAGAGTCGGAGCTATCACCTACCATATAACGGTTTTTAGCAGTACTCAGGCCTAATGAATGACGCTGCTTTCTTCTCTTTATAAGATGTAATGCAGTTTTCTTGTGCCTCCATAGAATCAGGCTGCAAAAAACGATATGGCTTTAGTAAATCCAACCACAGCAGTCTCATGGAAAATGAAGTCTCCCTCTTAATTACTAGGACCTAGAAATCACAAAATGGTGAGAGATAAAAACTAGGAAAAGACTATAAAGTATAAATAGGTTAGACAAAGGACTCGTGGCAATAACTCGATATTTTGTTAAACAGATCTATGAATCTGCTTCTGATTGACATTTCAAAGAAGAGAATATTTTGTCAAAATAATTCAGTTGCCAAGAATTTCCCTCTTGCCCGGGATAAGAGTACAAGACCGGAGACCAATTTAACCAGAGACATTGGACTTCAAAAAATATATGCAGCAGCTTGGAGATCTGATAAAGCACACTTCCTCAAAATATAAGGCCAAGCCAAGTGACATGGAATGATAAGTATCCAAAACGTACCTTGATAGCTAATGCTCTGTCAAAACTCTCAATGGCACTATCAGGCTCTCCAAAGTTTAACTATGCTCTACCAAGAGTGACCCATGCCTGAAAAACAAATACAACCTCATATGTAACAACAGACTGCTTTTGCATATAACGAACACTACAACATAAAAGTATTTCTGAATAAACATTCGATCTAATGAACAAGAGAAAAATATTCAATTGCAATATCTCAACTATAGCTAGAGACCACTGTACATAAAGCAAGCATTGGGAAACTAGGGAAATTAGCTGCCCAAGTGGAAAGTAACCATGTCTATGAATCGATACACAAAATTATTTTCTTCCTCGATAGCTAAATTTGAACTTTATCGTCATCATCGATTTGATGATAGACTACAAGTACCAGGTGTAAAAGAACAGAAATGAGCTCAGATTTTGCATAAATATAACAAAATGCAGTTAGAAATGTTCAAAATCCTATGAGAAATATAATCGTCATGTTTAAGGAACACAATCATAAAGAGGGTGTGATGTTTTTCAAGTTATTCAATAAAGCTTCTTATTCGGCATTACATTCAGGTTACAAGCTTGACATACCTCAGCCCATGATGGTTCCAATTCAGTTGCTCCTGCCAAGTGGAATCCACATAAAGCAGACAAAAGTTTTAAACTTTACATATTTGCAACAGACAAACAAACCATAGCACAGAGTATATCCAAATACAACAACATCTGCAATATCTGATCTTGTTTGAGGAGCTTTAAATCAAAGAAGCATTTCGACAATGTCACTGACAAGAGAACCATGACTTACGAGTTGCTGCCTTCAATGCACTTCAAGCATCCCCAAGTTCAAGTAGAACTTGTGCCTTCTGTTCAAACAAAACCGCATGTTCAGGCATCAAATTAAGAGCCGCCTCCCACTTCCCAAGTGCTTTCCGGTATTTCCCATCCTTCAAAAGAGACTAGCTATGAGAATAAATACATCATACCAAGTATGACAAGCCAAAAGTACCGCCGTTCCATGCTAAGGAAAAGCTGGTAATAAATCATTTAACAAAATCAAAGCTCAACTAAACAAGATATTCAAATAAATCATTAAGCACTATCTAAGCAACTCGAAGACGGTTTCTTACCCTCCTTTCCCCTGTTAGATTGCTACAATTCGTACAAGTGACCCAAAACAAATCCAATTTGGATTATTTCCTCTCATATCGTTATAACTTAGCCAAATTAAAGATGAAAAATATACCATAAGAAGGGGTCCAACAAATCTCACAATCAGTCAATAAACTGGGAACTTCCTCAAATAGAATAAGTAAAGGCTATACAATGGAGAAAGGAACAGAAAGTAAGCAAAAAAGGGGAAAGGAGAAACCTCAGCAAGCTTGTCGCCTTGGGCTTGGAAGGATTGGGCAAGTTTTTTAAAGTCACAATCAGAATCCAAAGCATCAGCAGAGGGTTTCTCATGATTTTGAGAAGCGGTTGGTTCATGATTCTGCAACTGCGTATCATCAGCAGAGGTTCTTGTTGATCAAAAGGGAGATTTGGGTAGCTTGCGAAAGCTTCTCTGGAGCGCTTCTTGTTCCATGTTAACTTCATCTTGCTTCTGCAACAATTCTTTTGTCTTCACTTCGCAGTTCAATTATCGAACGTCGTCTTTCCCAAATAGTAGGGTCGGGTCGGGTTGGTTAATTTTTTCGGGTCCATTTTGTATTCTTGTTCGTATGTTCCATATCGAGCCCAACTCACGCCTTTTCTATTTATTACTATTGATTTTATACTTGGCTAAAGAAAAACTATTTCAGATATCATCAAAAATTTAGCATTAACTTATTTATATTTTCAAAATTTTATTTTATTTTATTAATTTTAATTTTAATATTTATTTTTAATTATGAAATTTCTTTTAAAAACCTTACATTTACAAAAATCTAACCCCCTTAAATTTTTGAAAATTTTAAAAAAATCCTTATTTTCATTTACCATCTTCGTCGATAGTATGGTATTGTCATCACATTAAAATTTCTTTCTCTATATTTATATTTCATTAGTCATGTTCTCGTCGATCAGTAATCATTCATGATTTAACTATAATATTTTATATTCAGTGTTTGACAATCGATTAACATATTGTTCGTCGATTTTTGACAATGGAAGAATGGGACAATTAGTAGTAAGGGTCCAACAAGAGACGTCATGAGCGATGGCCAATGATTTGACTACAAGAATAGGTGAAGTTAAGAGTTTGATATTTAGGGCTTTGGATTTGAATTTGAAAAATTCAAAACTTTTTAATTTTTTTTTGAAAAAAATATTATTTTTATTATAAATTATAGATAAAAATTATATATATAGTAATTTTATAATATTATAAGAAGTATATTTATATTATTTATTATATAGAAACTTATATATATAATATTTATATTATAAATATTATTTTAATTTTAAAACATAAATTATAAATAATTTGAGTTGCACAATATGTATATTATATTTAAAAGAATATAATAAAAATTTAAAAGAGTTATTAAGTTTTAGCTCCTATTTATAAAGGTTTGGAGTTCAAATCTCACTAAACATAATATTTAAGCAAAATGATGTTATTTTAGGTTTTTTAGACATCAAAACAATTGCATTAAAATAATGTTGTTTTGGTTAGACAATCACATCGGCAATATCACGGTGCACAATTATCATGTTATCATCCCGTTAAATCATTAACGACATAGTCACATAACTGCACTTAAAAGTTAATGTTAAAATTGACAAAACTAAAAATTTGATTGTATAAACGAGTTAATGCTTAAAGTTTAGTGGTATATAAAGTAATTTTTCATTTTTATAAAATATTTTGGAATGCATTGTTTTCATTGAATTAAAATAAAAGTAGTACGAACCAAACTGTCTCAATGATTAAATAGATGGTTGTTATTCGAGCATCAATAATATTAAAGTCGTATAAACTAACATTTATAATCCATCCTACATCATTATAGATTGCCATTTTTTATAACATTTGCTTTTGATAAAAAAGACTATCTAATTATTCCATTCCAATCAACATATTCATCGTCATCACGATACTATGCTATGTTTTAGTAATTGCACAAGAGGGTACACTACATCAAAATAGATTTTTAATGGTGTTTTTTTTTCAGCCATATAGTGACATTTTTAAGCACTGTTAAAAACTCTTGTGACAAAATAAAAAACGTCACAAAAAGCACTGTTAAAACCAACACCACAAAAAAGTAGCAGCGTTTATCGTCCACAAACACAACTAAGATTATAATCTTTTGTGACGTTTTTTCTATAAACACCCGTTAAAAGTTATAATATTTAGCGGTGTTGTTAATAAACGCAATCATATATCTTTTCTTTTGTAATTTGCTTTTATTCTGGGTCCCATTAGGAACTCGGTTTCATGCGCTTTCCAATGTTTATGATTCAAATAAATGATTTTGTTTCATCACAAAATCTGAAAAAGAAATTTGGGTATGTAACACATGACATGTCATTGGTCAAGGGTTTGAATAAAGAGAAAAATTGGACCGGCTTTCAGTGGATGCCAATGGCTTTTGCTTTTTATACCAAGTTTTCTTGACTTTGGACTTGCCACATAAACTTAATACCCGACTCTTACACATAAATTCTTGGCATTATTACAACACAATTTAATTCTACACATAAACAATAACAAAAATTGTCATTAAAATTTGATAGAAATAATTTTAAAAATAAGAAACTTTTAGAATCACTAAAGCAAATTTATATTTTTTAAGGATCATTATATAAGTACATGATTTTTTTTATAAAAAAAATTATTTAAAGGACATGAAGTAATTTTTTTTTTCAAAATGTTGGGTTTAGACCCTTGATCCACCTCCCAAACTTTTTTCACATTTGTAAGTAATAAAATAAGAACATTTTTAATTATTATAAGAATTATTACGTAAATTTTAAATTATCATTATCTAAGGGAAAATCAATTA